GGGGGTTTGGGGGGTCCCGGGGGGGTCCCCCATGTCCCCATGTCCCCCCCCCAGGCGCTACAGCCACCGGCACAGGGAGGACACGGACCGGACCGGCCCCCACGGTGAGGGTCACCCGGGGTCACCTGGGGTCACGTGGGGTCACCCGGGGTCACTGGGGGGGTGACAGAGTCACGGTGTCCCCAACGCGGGGGGAAGAAGAGGGGGGTTGTCCCCATCCCTGGTGTCCCCAAGTCATGGGGGGGTGGGTGTCCCCTCCACGGTGACGGTGACGGTGACGCTGTCCCCGTGTCCCCACACCCCACTTTGGGTGACAACGATGATGATGGTGACACCGTCCCGGTGTCCCCACACCCCTGGGGGTGGTCCCAGTGTCCCCACCTCCCCACGGTGACACTGTCCCCATGTCCCCACACCCCTCTTTGGGTGACAACGGTGGTGACGATGACACTTTCCTGGTGTCCCCACACCCCTGAGTGTCCCCACCTCTCCCTGGTGACGGTGACACTGTCCCCGTGTCCCCACACCCCCCTTTGGGTGACAATGGTGGTGACGGTGACACTGTCCTGGTGTCCCCACACCCCCCTGGTGACCGTCTCGGTGTCCCCACACCCCCTTTGGGTGACAACGATGGTGACGGTAACACTGTCCTGGTGTCCCCACACCCCTGAGTGCCCCCACCTCTCCCTGGTGATGGTGACAGTGACGGTGACACCATCCCCGTGTCCCCACACCCTCTTTGGGTGACAACGATGGTGATGGTGACACTTTCCTGGTGTCCCCACACCCCTGGGGGGGGTCTCGGTGTCCCCACGTCCCCCGTGGGGCGATGACGATGGTGACGGTGTCCCCGTGTCCCCGTGTCCCCGTGTCCCCGCTCCCCCCGGGGTGACGGTGCCGGTGACGCCGTGTGTGTGACAGGGGGGAAGCTGTACATCGACCCCCTGACCTACGAGGACCCCGGGGTGGCCCTGAGGGACTTCGCGCAGGAGATCGACGTCACCTGCGTCAAGATCGAGGAGGTCATCGGGGCAGGTGACACCCCCTTCCCTCAACACCCTGACCCCCACCCTGTCCCCAAAACCTGTCCCCAACCCCTGACCCCCACCCTGTCCCTAATGGGGTCCCCCAAAACCTGTCCCAAACACCCTCACCCCCCACCCTGTCACCAATG